GCCACCTAGAGATTCCGGATGAAGGGTGTAAACCTGAAACGTCGACTTTCCTGGTCCTGGCCTGCTGTGTTCCTCCAGCTCCACACTGTCTTGCCTGAAGATGTCAAATGTTGTCTGAGCCCTTTTGGATCAGTGAGACGCTTCGACCAATAGGCTATAAATTTCCTCAGGCGTCTGACAATACTAGAATGATTAAATCATTACAGACACAAGTTGGTGCTGATGCAAACTGTCACAACTTTATTAAGGAACTAGGGACATGTAACAGTAAGACTTGAACATTAACAAAACTATTTGTAATTCTGCCCAATTGCCTTACTTACAATACTTCTCAGAATTTTTTGTTCGATTTGGTCAGATTCACAAAGTCATTGGTTCTCTTTCACTCTCATTCCAGACAGTCCCTTAGTCTTTGCCTTTGCCACACTGGTTGCTTCTTCTTCATCTCAAGAAGGTCCAAGAGATCATTCTTGTAGAGTCATTGAGATGTACAACATGGAAACAGACCCTTCAATCCAACTTGTCCATGCTGGGCCAGGTATCCTAAAGTAATCTAGTCCCATTTGCCAGCATTTGGCCCATATCCATCAAAACCCTTCCTATTCATGTACCCATCCAGATGCCTTTTAAATGTTTCAATTGTACCAGCTCCACCACTTCCCTCTGGCAGCTCATTCCATACACACACCACCCCCTGCGTGAAAATGTTGCCCCTTGGGTCCCTTTTAAATCTTTCCCTTCTCAAATTAAACCTATGCCTTCTGGTTTTGGAAACCCCACCCCAGGGAAGAGACCTTGGCTATTCACCCTAACCATGACTCATGCCTTTATAAACCTGTATAAGGTCACTACTCAGCCTCTGACGGTCCAGGGAAAATAGCCCCAGCCTATACAGCCTCTCTCTAAATCTCAAGCCCTCCAAACCTGGCAATATCCTTGTAAATCTTTTCTGAACACTTCCACGTTTCACAACATGCTCCCTACAGCAGGGAGACCAGAACTGCATGCATTATTCCAAAAATGGCCTAACCAATGTACTGTACAGCTGCAACTCCTTTATTCAATGCAGTGACCTGGGACTCCACTTTCAAGGGACTATGAACTGCACTTCAAGGTCTCTTTGTTCAGCAATACTCCCCAGGACTTTACCATTAAGTGTATATGTCCTGCCCCGATTTGCCTTTCCAAAATGCGGCACCTCACATTTATCTAAATTATCTAAATCCATCTGCCACTCCTCGGCCCATTGGCCCATCTGATCAAGGTTCTGTTGTACTCCGAGGTAACCTTCTTCACTGCCCACTACACCCGCAATTTTGGTGTCATCTACAAACTTACTAACCATACCTCTTATCGTCACATCTAAATTATTTATATAAATGATGAAAAGCAGTGGAACCAGCACTGATCCTTGTGGTATACCACTGGTCACAGACTATTCTGAAAATAACCCTGTTTTTATACCTTGTTGGATCGTCTTCTGAAACTTTCTATAGTTCTGGCCAATCAGGGAGACTTGCTTAATGATTTTGAAGCTATTTGACCAAGCTGGCAATCTATCTGTCTTTTTTTGGCAGCCAGGAGCTGCTACACAGACCTGCTTTTCAAAATATCCACAAGTGCTGTTACACACAACTGAATGGTTTGTTACCCATCACCAAATCACCATGTCTTTTTTTGTTTTTAAATATTAAATACTACCAGTAAATCACCCTTGCAGCCAATTAGATACATGCATATAAAGCCCATTAAGGGCAAAGCAAACCATCAAAAGTGAGGAGAGGTTCAGAGAGTAGGAACGGACTAAATCAAAATGGAGTTGGAGGGGAAATAAAGCAGGTAATCAACACCCTCTCAACCATAATTAGGTATGGGCAATAAATGTTGACCTAGCCAGTTATGCCTACACTCGGTGAACGGATATATCAAAGGTTTGTAAGAATTTAAATGAAACGTGAAGCTTCACCTACTTCTGGATGGAAGAGTTATTATCCAGAACAATCCTCATCATTCAAATTAGTTCTGGAATTCAAAGCTACCTAGGAAGAAATAAGGAAGCAGGCTTTCAAGAGCAGAGGAAAAGCTTTGAACTTGTTCCACATAAGAGACAGAGTTACTGTGGCAGAGAACTTTCAGTTGTTTTAAGTAGGGGAAGCATTTTTGTAATTCAGATGGGCCCTTCCCACGCTAGTCAAGAGTTGAGACGTGCTGTGAAGAACAGTCCTTCCTAAGCTTTGGTTTAACTAAGAAAGGCAGAATGTCTGTTCCAATTCCTCTTACCTGCAGATAACTGGTACCTACAGTATGAATAACTGAAGCTCTAGCAAGTGTAGGTGTAAGACACATTTTGAGTCCTACTAATTATCTTAAATTGATTGTATGTGACCACAATAAGCACTACATTCATCCTCCAGCAGTTCAGCATGCGCACTTCCAGTCACCACCATGGATGGCTTATGGTATGAGAGATATACAATACACAATACAATATAGCACAGGAACAGGCCTTTTGGTCCACCAAGTCTGTGCTGATTCCTATTCCTTATTTAGACCCACTACTTATTGCCTATGCACACTTTCTATCCCTCTGTTTGCCTCCAGTTCATGTGTCTATCAAGATACACCTTAAACGTTGCTAACATGTCTGCTTCCACCACCTCCATTGGCAGTACATTCCAGGCACACACTATCCTCTGCATGGAACATTTTCCCCACACTTCTTCCCCAAACTTTCATTCTCTCATCTTGAACCTGTGCCTTCTTGTAGTTGATCTCTCCATCCTGGGAAAAAACCTCTGACTATCCACCCTATCTATGCCTCCATAATTTTGTAGACCTCAATCAGGTTGCCCCTCAGTCTCTGTCTTTCCAGTGAATACAATCCACATTTATCCAATCTTTCCTCATACCTAAAATCCTCCAAACCAGGCAACATCCTGGTAAACCTTCTCTGCATCCTCTCAAAAGCATCCATATCCTTCTGATAGTGTGGCAACCATTGAAGCAATAGTGTTTAGACAATGTTGATTTTAGTTTGTTTATTACAGTAAAAATCTTGTCATGTGACAGATCTTTCATTCAGTTACCAGAAATACAAGTAACTCATTACAAGTAATTGGTCATCACAGGAATCAGAATGGCGTAAGAGACAGAGATGACATGAGGGAAGACAATTTACTCAATGAGTTGTTATAATCTGAAATGTACTACCTGAGTGTTATGAAAATAGAATTGATTATAGTTTTCAAAGGGGTATTGTTTAAATATCTGGAAGGGAAGAAATTGTAGTGCACACTCATGACGTGCTTCTCACCCAGTATCACCCTTTCTGATCACCCTCAATGACGTCCTGATGTAAATGCATCTGTGCTGGTGGAAGATGGCTTGATGTAACAGTGCTGGTTCATTGGCTTCCATCTTGTCTGAGGATTCTAGTGATATTGTTGCTTCACTGGATTCTTCCCCTCCACAAATGAGTGTCTGAAAGACCATGAGAAGGAGATCATAAGGATTCACCTCTGATGGTGGAGGCTTCTACAGAACTGAAGTTTTAGCATAACAAAGTTGTAGAGCTGGAGGAACACAGCAGGCCAGGCAGTATCAGAGGAACAGGAAAGCTGACGTTTTGAATTGGGACCCTTCTATCTCCAGCTCCACACTTTGTTATCTCTGACTCCAGCATCTGCAATTCTTGCTATCTCAATGAAGTTTTAGCATGCTGTCAAACAGTCAGGAATGAAATCTATCTCCTTTGTCTGCCAAATTTAATATCTTTCCTACCTCCCTTAAGTCATGATTGCAGAGTGAAAAATGACTTGATAGACTGTTTGTGTTATTTTTTTCGATTTGGTCATTACGTTGGCCAGTCACTGAATACATTCACAAGAAGCTGCTAATGTACTTCTAACGAAAGAACACAAGGTTATTACACAAAAGAACAGTTAAATAAAATAAATCTATATACATAAGACAATTTGGAAAATCTCACTATAAACAGCAGAAAAAAGTCTTTTTTTTTCCAGCGACATTCTTTATAGATATACACACCATTCTCTACATGAAAAAGTTGCCCCTTTTAAATTTCCCCTTCACCTTAGACCTATGCCCTCTAGTTTTGGACTGTCTTACCCTGGGGAAAATACCCTCGACTATTCACCTAATCTACATACATGAAAATGAGCTGCGAGAGAAAGTGGTACGGGTGAGCACAATGGCATTTAAAAAAACATTTGGACAGTACATGGATAGGCAAGGTTTAGAGGGATATGACCCACATGCAGGCAGAAGGGTCTAGTTCGGTTCAGGAAAACTGGTCGGCATGGATGAGTTATGACTCTTTCCACAATCCTAGTGAAGTATCACTCCTTTAAGACCAAACGACATAGGAGCAACAGGAGGCCATTTAAACCTTAGAGTGTGCTCCACCATTCAACGGAGTCGTGACTGATCTAATAATCTTAAACCACAATCTCCTGCATTTTCTCTTCAGTCTTTTTTAACAAAGTTATTCGCGTTTCCTTTTAACACCTTTCTCTACATTCATGAGATATGATTCTCTCCTTCCCTCCCTAAGATACAGGGTCAGGCTAATTCACTGTCTTTTCTTTGACTGCTTTGAAACTCCAAAATAGTGCTTCAACTGATATTCTTCTTTCCTTCTGAACTGAACTGACTTCTAGCCTGTCTTTCTCGGTGTCATAGAAGTCCAACTCAGTAAACACGAAACACTTAAGTATCTATCTCACCAGGTAGCTTGTCTTGTCGTCTGTCTTAAGTCACGTGATTTCTTTGAACTGATGGTTTGACCCACTGCTAAAAGAAAGTTGCTGACCATTAAAAGATCACTTTCATGTGAACAATAATTTATTGTCACTTGTACACAACAGTGAACAACACAGTAAAATACAGTGAAAAGCTTCAATTGTCATAATCCAATGCCATTTTGAACAGTTTAAGAAAATAAAAGATACAGTTGAAAGATAGTCCATCTTCGTTCTGCCATGAGTCCTGAGCCGGCTGACCAACGACCTTCTACCACCCGTATGCTGCTTGTGCCGGACCCACAGTCAGAGTCGCCACTCTTCAGGTGCCATCTCTTCATCGCTAGGCCCACCTTGCTGACGGGCCACCGATGCAGAGTACCATACTGGACTCACACTTGCTCCCCCACCAGATCCCCTGGCTCTGCTGCTGCTGCTGCCTTGCCGATAACCAGGAGTCCCTGGGTCTGTGACTACCACAACAAAAGGGCTGCCGCCCCTACTGCCTCACCGAAACCAGGAGACCCCACTCCGGGCCTATCCACATACAGGAGTCCTTGGCTCAACTGTTGCCTCAACGACGCCCGGAGTCCCCGCTCCAGGCCTACCACTACCAGGAGCTGCTGCTGTCTCGCTGATAACCAGGAGTCCCTGCTCCAGACCGACCACAACTAGCAACCTTGTCTCCACTGCAGCTGCCCCCTCGTCAATGCCTTAAGTCCCTGCGCTGGGCATATTACATGGCCACTGTTTCAGCCGCTGCCTCGTCAACACCTGGAGTTTCTGTTCCAGGCCCACCACAACCAGGAGACCCTGGCTCCCACTGCCAGGCCAGGGCCACCACCTCGCCAAGAATACCACTCCATCCGCCCTCCTCCACAATTTCACCTTTTCCTCCACTGACTGGAAGAAGGGGAAGAGAAAGAAAAAAGA